CTCTGCCCCTGAGCTTCAGCACTCTCCTTGGGTGGTAACTCCCACCCCTACTCCTTCTACCTGTCCCCCACACTCCTTCCTTCTGCCTCTAGTCCCCATTTGGGCCCAGCCCCACACCTCCTCCTCCTGCTGTTTTATTGCTCCTACTCTCCTTCCCCGTCCCCAGATCCATCCACCCCAGCCTCCTCCTGCCCCCCCCCAATACTACCCTTCTTCCCTCCTGTCCCCAAGCCCTCTTCCACCTTCCTCCTGCTTTATTGCCCCACCCCTTCTCCCCAATCCTCCTCCTCCTCCTCCTCCTGTCCCCCAAGCCCACTCTCACTCCCCAGACCCTCCTCCTGCCCCTCAGATTCCTTCCGCCTTCCTCCTGCCTCCAATCCTACCCCTACCCCCTCTTCTTGAGCCTTCCACCAACTCCCGCACCCTCTCACCTGCACCCGCGGCCTCGCTTTCCGGGCGGGGGAGTCCCCAGCCCGGTGCGCTGTTTACCTGCCTCCCCCAGTCGCTTTCCCCTCCGTTCGGCGAGCACGTGCACTTCCGCCAGAGACGCTCCCTACGCCGCGGGAACTCACGGGAAATGTAGTCACCAGCGCGGGGAGGGGGGCGCTTCCGCCCGAGCCGCGCTGCATGTTGGGAAACACCACCTACCCAGCCTCTCTGACTGCTGGGTATAGTAGTTCTAAGGTGAGCGTGTGCGGCTCGCTGTGAGAGGCACAGCCGAGAGCCCAGGACGGCAGCCCCCCTGGCTGGCTCAAGACTGCCCAGCCCGGGTCCTCCTGGGGTTTCCCTAGACCCGCTGCCGCAAATCACATTCAGATTCCAGTTCGAAGCGACTCGCAGAGCACCCCCCCCCCAGAGCAGCAGCGTCCGCTAGAGGGCCCCCACCCCTAGGGCCTAAGATTTAGTTAGGGGTATTTTCAGTAAAAGCCGTAGACAGGTTACTGGCCGTGACTTTTTGTTTATTGCTGTGACCTGTTCATTACTTTTACTAAAAATACCCCTAACGTACCCTTAGTGATGTACCGTTTCTCCACTCAGAACAAGACTTCACAGTATGTTTGAGATTCAAACCCAGGGTTGGGTTGTTTTGGTGATGACCAGTCCTGATCCTGTAGCGTCTCACATGATGCTATCTCTACCATCCGTTTCCTCACTCGGCAGGGTGAGATACAGTTTTCTCCATATTTCAGCACCAGTCATGCTCAGGACATATGTTTTGTGATGCAGATACGTAGTTAGGTGCCAAGGACATGGCTTGTTGTGGTATTGTCCTTTAAAAATAAGTTACCCTTTATTTTTCACATATCTTCATTTCCTAATCCTGCTCTCACTGCATCTCTCCCAGGCAGCTAGTGTCATACAGACCCTTGGCAGATCCTATGAATGTCTCTAAGTGGAATTAACATGCCACAAGAGCAACAGCATCACCAACCTTCAGTGTTCAAATTTGAGCCAGGCCCCTCCAAATTATGAGACTGACTTAAAAAACACAAGGGTTTTGGTTTTGTTTTGCTTTGTTGCTTTTTTAATAGTACATTTGGAGTTCTTTTTATTTGACTTCTTCTGGTTTTCTATACTGTCACTCCTTGCAATTTTACTGTGAGTGGCACAATATTTGGTGGCTATGTTAGCATCTCAGTTATGGAATCCGATTATTTCCTGACAATTGCAACTTTCATTTTTTAAAAAGGTAAATTTCTGGTCCTCTTGGCTGCAGAGAAGTGCTTGAAAGCATGAACCATACATGTACCAGCACCAGAACGCAAACAAAAAGAAACCCAACTGATTTTTTAAGCCAATCTCATGATTTTAGGGCCTTGACTAATTTTTAACACATTACTGAGTTTTGAACCTTTAGGCTGCACTCAGGTCACATTTCCAAGCTTTTCTCTTCAACAGAGGGCTAGAAACTTATTTAAAAAACACTGAAAGCTGAAATTCTCAGGCAATCACGGGACCCCAGGAGCTGCGGGCTTTAAGAAACACAACAAATATAGAGAGACTCCAATTTGGCAATGCCGGGAAAGTGATTTCAGAGCACACCAAAATCTTCCTTGTTTGCCCACTTCACTAGGGTTGGACTACAACCCCCAGAATCCCTTAGCAGTGTCGGAGGAGGAGGAGGAAGGGAATTCCTCCCAGGCAGCAATGGCTGAAGAGGTGGAGAGGAAGCCGGTGCTTGAGATGGTGAGTGTCTGAGAGGCCAGGGCTCCCTGGGTTTCCTGGTTCTGCTGTGCTTCCTGGCTGGATGCTAAGAGCATTAGGGAGGCAGGCTGGGGGGCTCAGGCTTGTGGCAGAAATGCCACGTGGTGACCCACTGTTTCCCGTATGTAGCCCACAGGGTGTGCTGTTTCCAAATCCCTCAGCTTCCGTGGGCCTGGGACTGCTTTCATGGGTGGCCCTGTTTTCTGCCTAGCTCGATCTTTATCTGGCTCCCATGGCTGGAATATCTGAGAGCCCACCTACGTTCCTGGATTCAGAGAGAAAAGGCGCGTTGTCTCTGTTCTGCAGATGGGGACTGGGTCTGAGGCACTGGAGTGAGTGATGATTGCCCCAGGGAGCCTGTGGCAAAACTGGGACTTACACCCAGATCTGTGCTAAAATGCTGTTTTATTTGTGTCCCCCCAGCCTCCATACCCCAGTACTGCCACCCCCAGCCCTTCAAACATGAGTTGAGCTCCTCCCCAAAATCATGAGATTTTAAAATCTAGAAAATGTGGGTTCTTTTTATTTTCTTTCTGGGTTTTGAGCCTTTTTTGAGGCTCATGTTTTCAAGAAAGCAAC